GTAGTAGTAGTAGTAGTAGTAGTAGTAGTAGTAGTAGTAGTAGTAGTAATGTCACTAACTACGACAGCGGCAATTATGGCGGCGGCACAATCAACAGTACTGGTCAAGACCTTTGATGCCAGTTTTGTCCAGGCATTCTTAAACGCAGACGTTCCGCATGCGGACACAAGGCGACTGAAAGTAGGGCTAGGGTTTTTGGCGCGAGTGGTTGAGGTTTTGTGTGGCCGCTGTCATGATGCGAACGCAAAATATGGCTAGCAATGCTTATATTTCCTAGTACAAACTAACTTCAAACGAGGCACTCCTGATGAAGCTTCTTAAGAAGGCAGCAGAAAAAAAACTACATTTAAACGCACAGAACTACAAAAAGGAAGGCTGCGTTTGTCCGACTTTAATGCCTCTGTGTCACACACTAACAAAGATAGTAGTGGTTGCTCTGGGTGACGCCCGCGGTCGCTTCTCCGGCCGATCGAGGAGTCTAATTCCAACCTGGGATCGGCAGACTTAGATATCGTTTTTGAGAGCCAACGAAGCCCGATATCCAACACTTGTTTAAAGCCAACAGTATGACAAGAAGTTTAACAAGTTCTCAACTGAACCCACTGTATCGAAGAGCAGACGGCTGGTAGCAGCAGGCTTATCCAGCGTAAGGCCTATGAAGAATCTGATTGGAAAATACTAGCGGTTTTGAAAAGGGTCCAGTCAATAGTCTGAGCGCTGCAAGCATGCAGAAGGAGGAAGGATAGTGTGTCAGCTGAGGGCCTTAATCGACCCTACAGGATCCGTCTCCAACTCCTTCATGCTAGGAATCCAGGGCTCCTTTTGGCCAATACGAGCTTCTGCCCAAAAGCGCAAGTCAAATTCAGTTATACTTAAAAAGGTGTATTTTCAAAAAACGGATAACGTTAGGAAACCTGAAAATGCCAAACACTAGAGTAGCAACACAAAAGACTAGAATATCAAGCCTGCTTTCTCCCAAAGCCAAGCCAAAGGCATCCTCTGAGGCAAACCAAGCTGTACGAAGTCAGAGTCGGAAAACATGCCCTTCAATGTCCGTACGCATTCAAACAAGTCGTGGCGCCTAATCCACTCCACTACCCTGTCAGAAGGGTCGGCTGCGGTGGGCGTTCCTTCCTTCAAGAAATCTGTTACGCCACTGGATCGCGATGCATCACGAAGATGTGCGACAAGATCCGGACTCGCCATGGCGAGGTTGGAAAGCAGCGTATCCACTTGGAGTTCAAGGATGCGGAAGGGAGAAGATTTGGCACCCGAGGTCAGAACAGTAGAAGGTAGCTTTGCTCGTAATTTTTCACCAGACAATCGAAGCCATCTGGAAATGAGGATGTACTTCAGAAGGAGGAAGAATTCCGCGTAGTTCCAACCTTCCCAGGCCTTTAAACAGTCCTGAATTTCAAGATCAGAGAAGAGCGAGAGTACCGTTAAAACACCTAAATTACGCCTGATCAGTCGAAAGTACAAAAAGGCTACTTTGAATGGGACACATTTTCAGTTAAAAAAAAAACCTCTAAACATTATTAGTCAGCGCGGGCGAAAAGGGCATGTTTAAGTACGACCAAATTTAGCACTTAAAGCGAGCTATATTTTAGTCGAAAAAAGCATCGTCTAAATGGACACGAGTAATCAAAAAGGAAATCAGTAAAACATATGGGACTGTGCACGCCGAGTGTGCCAAGGTAATTATCCAAATATAGTAATAATTCTGCCATTATGGACGGGTTATTCCAATCGTCCGGAAGCCCTCTGGGAGCACCTGCTGTGAGCATCCATTGAGGGATACGCAGAATTTGCGGCTGGAAAGAGCGTCCGACTGATTCTGGAATAGCAATACTAGTATCAGACGAAGACGGTTGCTTTCTTCCCTGATGTTTTTGCAACACTCACCTCGCCAAAGTGTTTCACCCACATCTTACAGAAAGGAAGCTGTCAGGACGAAATAACTTCTCAAGTGCAACCCCCTTGTGAAATACTCTGTGTTCTTTGAGAGAGGTAGCTTGTGAATTCAGAACATAACTACAGTAGACGCCGTTGATCATGCAATATTTCGACATATGCGAAAGACT